TGTTGGAGCGCATCAACAGCTGGACACCGCCTTTAGAAGTGCCCAACGCTTTTACCAAATGCTCATCACATTCTCCAAGTGCCTGAAAATGCTTTTCGGAGAGCTGATAGCGCTTTTTGATATGTGACAACACTTTTTGAGACCTGACAACACTTTCTGATGCATGAAAACGCTTTCTGATTTCTAGCAGCGCTTGTTGAATCACGACAATGCTTTTTGATGATTTTGACATCAAATTCTGATTCCTAGTAGCACTTTCTGATGATTCGGTGCATTCATGACTTAACATCATTTCTTCAAATGATCATTCTCCTACGAAGGGAGCATTCTCTCATTAGGTGAGAGAATTCTTTCACCAGGAGGGTATTATTATGTTCAAGACTTCTCGCCCCAACAATCAACTACTTGAAGATCAACCATGGGTCTAGCTTTGATACTAGTTTGTTGACTTGAATGGAAAAAACTTTACTTATACTCAACAAGTATACATCAGTTAAATGCTAAGGGTGGTAGGAGTAGAACCCTCCCAACCCACTCAACTCACAGCCACATCAACATTACATTAACTTTTCTCTATCCTATTTGTAACGTCCCATTTTCACAACCAAAATTTATCATTTTTATTAAGGTAAAACTTCCCAATTTATAATTCTATTATTAAGAAAACTGTTTATTCCAAATTACATTTATAAAAAACCAGAGTATCATAGAAAACGCGAAATCCACAATGTTGTTGATGAGTGTGTACAACCCCGCCTTCGCCTTCCCACGATCATTGATAAAACCTGAAAAACATAAATAACTGAGTAAGCACAAAACTTAGTGAGTTTCCCCCAAGATACCCCATACGATAAACATACAAGCATGCATAACGGCCCACAACCTCCCGGTTGGAATGCCCAAGCCCAATCAGTCCTCGGACTGGAATGCCAACATACAACGGGTCCAATCAGCCATCGGGCTGGAATACCCAAGGTTTGTTGGCCTACCGCCTCAACCCAACCGCTCCTCCTGAGCCTCGGTGCCTTCGGCTTACAGCCGGCCCGCACCGAGTATCTTGGCTTACAACACAAAGCAGGACCGCCTCAACCCACTACCACCATATGTTGACATATAAACAATCAAGGATCAAGCAGACACATAATACATGCAAACAACAATCATACAACTCACTACCGCCTACTAGTCCTCGCCCCATACACTTTCCCACTACCAGCTAACCTCCAAGAAGTGTGTAACCATAAGTAACTAGAGGTGAGATAGCCACCCGAATAGATGATCCTACTCTAGAGCCACAACCAAACAAGGAACATGCAAGAAAACCTAAATCAAGAGTTCTCAGGCTATCCTACATGACCACATACAGTCCCTAGGGCACTCCACTACATGATAACCATCAAGTACAGGCAAACATACATATCTACAAATCACTACCGCATAGCAACATTCTATATACCAAGATACAGATCTGACAGATCATTATAGCAAAACAACATCCTATATACCAGGATACAGATCTAACAGATCACTATAGCATAACAACATCCTATATACCAGGATATAGATCTAACAGATCACTACAACATAGCAACATACTAAATACCAACAATCCAAGGAATGCATAACCGTATATACTCATAGGTGAGATAGACACCCGGACATGTGATCCTACTCTAGAGCCACAACCAAACAAGGAACATGCAAGAAAGCCTAGATCAATAGTCCTCAGTCTATCCTACATGACTATATACAATCCCTATGACATCCCTCTACTAAAGATAACCAAAACTAGTGGGCCGACATCGGTGCCTTCGACCCACGGTACAATGAGGCAAAACTCACCAGAATCGAAGAACTCTGAAACACTGCGATACAATCCCTTTTTAGCACTGCTTGCACCCACGAATCCGCTAATCACCAAAACCAAGCAAAATCTTAATAAACAACCCAAAACCCCCCAAGTTTGACCCGAAGTCAAACTTGGTAAAAAAAGTCAAGGGTCAACGGTCAACAAAAGTCAACAGTCAGCAGGCCCTCACGACGTGACCATCTATGACTTTATGTCATTAGTCACTACATGACAAAATAGTCGGGTCTTGCAACCCTCACGACGTGACATGCATCTTCCTCACGTCGTGAGATCCGTTTGTACGCCATTTTGATCAAAAAACCTCTTAATCCGTTAAGTCGGTAGTCCATTTTTTCCAGGAGGCTTCCTAACACTCCTAGGATCATAAAAATCGATGATTTAAAGTATTGTATGTCCAATACAATACTTGAGCTCAAACTAGGTCATTCATGAAGAAAAAAGAGGTAATTTCTTAAACATGGACTCAAACATCCTCCAAACTTCAGATCCATGACATATAAGCACCAAGGGACCCCTTGGACCCATAAAGTTGCCAACTTTATGGAGTCCAAACACTCAAACTCTTAAACCATGGCTAAACATGCATAAAACCTTAGATCTAGCAACAAGGAAACATAAAGATTGGATCTTGGTTACTCACAACGGTCCAGATGTGTAGCTAGAGGTTGCAAATGGAACTTCCAAGCTGAAACTATGCTTACATGGTGAGCTCTTCCTCTTCAAACCACCAAAACTCCACCAAAAGCTCAAGAATCACAAGGAGAGGTTAGGGTTAGGGTTTTACTGAGTTTAGGGACGAAGGAGACTGTTTTGGAACCCTAAAATGAAGTTCATGGGGTTTAAATACGAAGGAAACCCTAAAAGATCAAGGGCTTGGGCTGCAGCGCATCTCACGTCGTGAGCTCTTTATTTCTCACGTCGTAAGCTCAGAATAATTGAACTTCTTCATTTAATTCCTCCTCACGTCGTGACCGTTCTATGGTTCACGTCGTGAGCCTTGGTTTTTACCCAAAAACCATGCATTTGACTCCTTGAAGCCCTAAATCGACCCAATCTGGAAACCGGGTTTTACACTCTTTCTTCCATCTTTCTCAACCCACAACACATGAAAATAACATCTTTCCCAACTCACTTGCCATATCACCATTTTTAATTTAATTTAGTTAGAAAATTCAAAATAAAATAAAACATAACATTTCTATAATTTTTTAGTCTTTAAAATGAACTTATACTAGTTTAAAATCAAAAAAATATTAACCTATATTAAAAATAATATTTAATTAAAAAACCACACTACAATAGCATAAATTAAATCACATTACAATAACATAAATTAAATCCTAAACGGAAATCTAAAAAAAATACTTCAATTCTGAAAAAAAAATAAGGGTGGTTTTTCTAAAATATTTCACGCCGTCTCGAGCCGAAAAACTTTTAAGTTATGGTGTTCTTATACTCATTTTGAGTTGCATTTAAAACTTCTTCATTGGAAACTCCGGGCTCCATGGTATTCATCTTGTGGGTGAAAATAACATTAAACTTTTTTACTTTTCCCTGCATATCTTTCCATTAGGAAACAATTTGATGTGTTGAACCATATGAACCTCCAAGCTACTGCTTAAAATGATCCGAAGCTAATTGCCAAAAACATAACGATCTATGTTGATTCACATGGCAATTTTCAAAACTATCAATGTATGTGATGTCAAACGTCACTTCTTCGATTTTGAACCATTTTACGAATACGACTGGTCTAGGAATGACGTCCATTTTCATATTTTGAATGGGAATATATATATATATATATATATATATATATATATATATAAAGTAGAGTAAATTGAATGAAATTGAATTAAAGAAAGAAAGGTAGAGGAAGTACAGTAAAACGAAATTGAATTGAAAGAAAGAAAGGTAGAGGAAGTAGAGTAAAATGGAATGAAATTGAAAGAAAGAAAGATAGAAAAAGTAGCCTAAAACGAAATGAAATTGAAAGAAAGAAAGGTAGAGGAAGTAGAGGAAAATGGAATGGAATTGAAAGAAAGAAAAATGTGATTTTGAAAAGGTAGAAAATAGTGTTTATAATAGGAAATTTTATTTAAAAAAAAATAATCAAATTTGAAGTTGTAGGAGTCACGGGTTCCTCAACCTGCTTGTGAGGCACATAACTCAACCCGTTAATGCTCGATATAATGATCTCGACGGCACCACCGATACCCATCCTATTTCTCTCCACTCAGTCCATCCTAAGAAAGAAAGAAGGCAAAGAACCGACACAACTCACAAGATTAAAAGCAACTGAAATAGAAAACTACCCCTACAAGTAAGTTACTAGAGATGCACACAGAAATCGGTTTCATTATTCAAAACCGGATCCAATCCGAAACTTGGCTCAAAACCGGTTTGGTCAAAATTGGATTGGATCGGATTTAAAACCGGATTGTAAATCGTATCCTAATTCTACATTCTAAATCGGATTTAATACCAGATCATAAACCGGATTTTCCAAAAACCGGTTTGAAAACCGCCCAAAAACCCAACAAAAACCAGATCAAACCGATTTATATCTTCCATTGGAAACCGGTCAAAACCGGTTTAAAACCGGATCGACGATGACGTAAGTGAAACCGGATCGGATCAGATTCGGGTTTTGTGCACCTCTAGAAGTTACCACCAACATGAAGACAAAGTGAAGATAGAAAACTATGCAACATAAAGCTAACACAAATACTAATAAACTGATAACACGTGAATGTTATGCACATGCACATGTGAGTAAGTCAAAAAAGTGTTGTTTCTTTCAATAATTGTCATATGTATTCCTCAAGAAGCTAGAATATAAAACATTTGCCTTCTAGTTGTATTAAATAAATAAGTTGGTGTATACTCGTTTGCTTGTAATCCTCCCTAAGAGTATAATATTTTATGTTTATTATGTGAATAAAAACAACTAGTTACTCGTTCTCACATCGAAATTTTCAGATATCCAAATTATCAATCAAGAAATTACATTTAGCCTAATCATTTAGCATAAATTTTGAATACAAGTTTTAATATCAAATAAACAAACACGACCACATAATCAATATATTTTTGTATTTATTCATTATAAAACAAATTAATCTATTCAAATACACACTCTGTGCCTTTGATACTCGATGTTGATGTACTACCACAATTTACTATCACCTACCTGCAACCACCACGTGACGGCGTTCCTAGCGAGTCGCATCGCTCTCAACTCACCTGCTCCGGTATCGCAATTACTCTTCTACTATAAATACAACAGATCATCTCACCATGTTCACGTCAATGTTGGTCGTCGGAATTTCGAGAAGATGGAGCTCGAAGAAGCAGCAGCCAACCTCCGTTCTCGCTTCATTCAAGTTCTTCGTAGTCGCCGTTCTCCTGAAGGTAAGTTGCTTTCATCAATTTCGTCAATTTTGATGTTCATTTGTTGGGAATATTTAGGTTCATGTTATACTCGTCTACTCTCATAAAACCATGTGAATTCTTCACCTCAAAAATCAGGCAAATTAGAAAACTATCTTTCAGTTAAGTAGATGTATGCTCTATGTCACCTTTATGTTAGGTTAATTTGACTAAATTAGACGGGAATGAAATAACTCGTACAATTGATGCAGAGATTCTAAATCTCTGGTGACTGGTTGACATGTTTAGCTAATTTTCCCCAAAATTACTACTATTCAATTTCAATGCAATCCTTTGTACAACAAAATCAATTGCTTTCCATTTTTAAACATAAAAATCCCAGTTGTTCGACAAACAGAACTCAAATGTGGTTAATTTCTCGCCAATACAGAGGAGAAGTAGAGTTTTGAAAGCCAAAGAAACTAGTTTTAAACCCCAAGTTTCATACGATTTTTGTTACAGACATTGAATCGCACTGTAAATGAAGTAGATTGTAGTCAGAAACAAAAAGGAATTCATGCTCGATCTCTATGACTTGTTTTGCCAGAAAACTCAAAAGTATCTTTCTTTATGGAGACTGGAGATGAACATCATCTAATATTATCAAACTTTTCACACACACATATAAGTTGAACATTGATTTCATATCTCTATTTGTCAAAACGTCGATTCATAATATATTTCTGCTACATTCTTTTTTCAGTTCCACTTCAGACACTACCTGCAAAGCCAGTGGTGGAACCCTTATATCAGGGAACACCACCATCACAACCTAGTGAGGTGAACAGTACTTGACATAGTCATAGACTCATAGGCTTTTTACCTTTTCTGTTAATCTTTTCTTGAAGTTATCTGATTTTGAACACTACTATATATCAGGCAATGGAATCATGCCCAAAAGCACACATTCATAACTTCAAGGAACTGCTTAATGAAGAAAACTTGTACCTAACCACTGAGGTAACTGAAACCCTGTTTCTTTTTTCTCATTAGCAATTCTCTTTATGAAGAAATTAACATGTGATCTTTTTATCTCTGATTTTAATATGATGAAACTTGTTGTTTTATTTAAATTAGGAAGGAGAGCAAGGGCGATTGCCTGTGCTCATTTTGAGCATGAAAGAAAACACACATTCAAAAAGACCAGCTGTTGTTTTTCTGCATAGCACAAATAAATGCAAAGAGTGGCTACGCCCTTTACTTGAGGTATAGTATAAAACTACAAGCGTAAAATGGTCATTTCTTCATTTTTTGAAAGCTTTGACAAAAAATTCTTCCTTTCAGGGTTATGCTTCACGTGGATATATTGCAGTTGCTATTGATTCTCGTTACCATGGAGAACGTGCCAAAAACCATACTACATATGAAGATGTGAGAATTGAATTTTTTTATATTTTTAGATAAAAATATTCATAAATCTGATTTCATATATTATAATTTTATAAATAACAGGCTCTTGTTTCATCATGGAAAAAAGGTGACACAATGCCATTCATATATGACACGGTTATACTTCTTCCCTTCCATCACTCTTGAATATTTCAAATGACATTATATACTTTTAATCCCCAAATCTTTAACTTTTTTTTTTTTTTTTTAATTTTTCTTTTTTTATATCATTTGACAGGTGTGGGACCTTTTAAAGTTGGCAGATTATCTAACAAAAAGAGATGATATAAACCATTCCAAGATAGGAATCACAGGGGAATCACTAGGAGGTTAGATCAATGAAAAACATTAATAGCAATAAGAATAGGGTGTCAATTGTCAATTGTCAGATTTGTCTTTAATTAATTAATTCCATAAATTAATATTGATTTTTGTGAAACTGAATATGATTCAGGAATGCATGCATGGTTTGCTGCTTTTGCTGACACACGTTATTCAGTGGTTGCCCCCCATAATTGGTGTTCAGGTACTCTTTCTTTTTCAATTAATGCAGATAAAACGACTTAATAGAGAACTTTTTTAAAAAAAAGGGAAAACTCCATAAAAGTTCTTATATTTTGGCCTCATAATCGATTTAGTCCTTATATGTTTTTTTTAATTCAATTAAGTCGCAAAAACCGACGATTGTATTCATTTTGACCCTTTTAGGTCAACAGGTCATCCCACTTTCAAAATTTATACTTTTGGCCTAGTTTTTTAAATTTGATTACAAATTTGCTCCAAAATTTACACTTTTGGAACACATTTCAAAATTTTGTTACGAATTCATCCTAAATTTAGTTTTTTTACATCTTTTTTTTTTTAATTTTTTTTACATAAATGTATTTCACGCATTTTCACATAACTACGCTTTATATAAATAGGTATTTAAAAAAAAATGTTTTAATAAATAGGCATTTTGCATACAATTTTTGTTTAAAGGTTTTTATATTGAAAAAAGAAGGTTTTTTATGTTGAAATATGTTTTTTTTTTCCGTATAAATATGATTTTATACAACAAAAAAAAACATATACGAAACAAAATTTTGAAAAAAAAAAATGTAAAAAAACTAAATTTAGGATGAGTTCGTAACAAAATTTTTTGAAATCTTGGCCAAAAGTGTAAAATTTGAACCAAATTTGTAATAAAATTTAAAAATCTGGGCCAAAAGTGTAAATTTTGGAAGTTTGATGACTTTTTGACCAGGTAAAATGGTCAAAATGAATACAATTGCTGGTTTTTTGGACTTAATTAAATAAAAATAACATATAAGGACTAAAATGATTACGAGGCCAAACTATAAGGAGTTTTATGGAGTTTTCCCTTTTAAAAATTGGCTCTCATTTATATTTTCTAAACATCATTTATCCAAAATGGAAATTAAAATGAAAACCATTTGGTTGTGTAGGGATTTCAGTGGGCCATAGATAACAATCAATGGCATGCTCGAGTTGATAGTATTAAGTCTGTGTTTGAAGGTAATTAAGACACTAACTACTTTACAAAACAAATATAAAATCTATGTTAATTCTATTAAAATTTTTTCTCTCTTTCTGAAATATAATAAATTTTACATTAATGTGTAATTTGCATGCTGTTTTGCTTCAGAGGCAAGGATTGATTTAGGGAAAGGTACCATTGACAAAGAAGTTGTGGAAAAGGTAAGTTCCATAAAGATTGCTAAATGCCTTTGCTGACGTGGCATGGCATCCAGCTGGCGTCTGACTGTTGATGCTGTGCTACTTTTATGACCAGGTTTGGAACAGAATAGCTCCTGGTTTAGCATCTGAGTTTGACTCGATTCATACAGTCCCACTCATTGCACCACGCCCTTTGTTGCTTTTAAACGGTGAAATGACCAAACTACCCTCCTCTTACTGATTCAAAAAATATATATTTTTTCTTATGAAATAATAACATGGAAAAAACTATCAGGTGAAAAGGATCCCCGTTGCCCAATGGAAGGTCTTGATGTTACCATATCAACAACACAAAAGGCTTTCGAAGACGCCCAATCTTTGAAACATTTCAAGGTATTGACTTTTGACTTTTGACCGATGTTTCTTGCTTTTCCTAAATAGAGTAGATTGTTTATATTGGTAAAAAAAAAAGTAAAGTATAATGTTATATGATGTAATAATGTGTTTTATTATGAATGAAATTTAGGTGATAACCGAAGTAGGAATTGGACATCAAATGACGTCATCAATGGTTAAAGAAACTAGTGATTGGTTTGATAAGTTTCTTCAACCCTAGAAATTTCTCATGCATAGCTATGTATTTATATGTATCATTACCCTTTGGCCCTGTTTTATGTTTTTATGTTTTATGTTTTTATGTACGATAGATATTCTTGTATTGCATTTGATGTGTTAATGGAACAAATTTTTTAAAAAGTGGAACAAAGTGAAATATAGAAATGTTCTTGATCACTGTTTGTGCACAAGACGTGAATGTTCTCATTCTCATCATCAAAAAATAGCCCTATCAGTTTTTTGTCCCAAACATACCCTAGTTCATAAATGATAACACTCAAATATGAAAAGGTTATATCACGTAAATAAAGCTTTGGCGTTGTCATTTGTTAATACTTAATACAAATACATAAGAAAAAATATCTCACAACAAATAAAAATTGACACTCATCATAACTTTTATAAAAGAAAACCCTTCCAACAAAAAAGAAAGCTTATTCCAAATTCTGTATCAAGAACCCATGAATTAGAGGTAGTATTAGTATTATGAAGTTCAATTATATAAGTACTGACCCGGTCGCTTCAACCTTACTATCCTTGAGATCTTTCAAGTATTTTGGGCAACTTCATTTCTATTGCCCCTTAACGCCATAATAAAAACACAATGCTTTTTTAGGATCACTTACAGATGGAACAAACACATTTCCCTTTTAGGAATGTGAAGCCATAACCTTCCCTTTCCATTTTGGAGTAGAATGCTTTCTCTTGTGTCCACCAACATTCTAAATGGCGAGTACTTAAGTTTGAGGTATGCTATGTGTTCTCTTCACATTGACTTCAACTGTCTGGAGGAGGCCATAGAGCTCCATCAATGTCTTGTCCATAGTATTCAATTGATAAGTAATGATGAAATTGTTATATGAACTAGGGAGAGAACCAAAGACTAAGTCCATAGCTAGGTTCTTGTCGAAGACAACGTCGAGGTTCTCGAGTCGGTCTATGTAGCTCTTCATTTGTTGAAGATGAGCACACACCGAACCACCTTATTTGAGTTTGCATGACGTTAAGGCTTTGAAAATCTTAAATCGCTCTTGCCTTGCCTTTTGTTGAAACATTTCAGATAGTTGCAAGTTCATTTAATATGCCCAAGTGTTCTCGAAAGCCTTTTGAATGTCTGATGGCATGACGACAATCATGATGCAAGAAACCTTATTCGAGTCATCCATGTTTTTGGCTTGAACAACTTTCTCTTCATCATTTGAGTTATCATCGATATCTTGGATCGCTTCATCGAGTATGTATTCATGATTTTCATACCTCATTGTTATCCTTAGGTTTCTCATCCAATCGAGATAATTAGCCCTGCTAGTGAGCTTCTCTCTTTGAAGAACAGAAATGAAGGAAAAGTTGGAATTGGTGGGTGGAGGAGGTGGGAAAGTAAGACCATTGATACCCGACAACTAAAAGGAGAAACAAAGTTTAGTTAGTTTATTTTATTCCTTAAATAATTACTCAATTTATTTTACGGTCATGATCCATATTTTGATTCGATTTATGAAGAGGGATACCATAATCATATCACAAATTTATTTTAGGTAGGTAAAGCACTTTACTAATTTCAGTCACTATGTAATTCCTAAATCTTTTGAGATTCATTGAAACTATTCAATGACATGTTAATCTCGAATTTTCACATCCTTTATTTGTACCTGGGATGTTGAGGTCTCACAAATAAGATAGTGAACCAATCATGCAATAACGCATGACCCTTGATTATATCATGGTCCTCAAATTGGCGTGCCAGTTAACCACACATACTTCACCAACAAACAATGACCACAAGTCCACATCATTTCCTTCTTACGTCTCAAATTTATGTGCCGGTTAACCACACATGCTCCATAAATAGACAATAAGGAATAATGTGTGTTATTCATGGATTGACAACTATTCACATTTTTCCTAAAATAATTAAGAACATAAATTTTGTTTTTAGTACTTTTATTTGTTATACTTTTAATGAGACATCATCTTTCTATCAAACCCTTTGAGCTAATGACAATCCACCACATAAAGAAGCGGTAAATGAAAATGACACTCATTCAACGGTCATTTTATAGGCTGTTTCCTTATCTCTCTCTCTCTCTCTCTCTCTCTCTTTCTCTCTCTCTCTCTTGACATGACTTCATGACTGATGCCTAGTCTTGATTTGACTAACGATCATTCATTAAACATGTGAGGACATATAGTGTATTATTCTTTTACACATAGTAATCGTATTACAATTTACATATATAAATTCTTTTGGTCTTTAATATTCTTTTATAATTATATGTAAGGTAAATTTTAAACAATTTCAAATTATATGATTTAAATAAATTATCTTTAATTAACTTTTAATTAATTAATTTTAAATCATTATCTATAATTTCTAGTCTTTTAGGCATATTTATCTTCTGAGTTTAATTATCTAATTTTAACAGTTTAAAATAATATTTAAAACTAAAGCTAAACCCTAAATTCGAAATTATAGCAAAAAAATCCGAAATATGCTATTAGCCAGAAAGCGCGCTGCGTCGCGCGGTCGCTCTGCAACTAGCAAGTTTCTTCTGATTTTCTCAGTTTTTAACAGTAGTATCTATAATTAAAATCTAATGGTTCTAATACCACCGATGAGTTTATAAGGCATCTATACATCACATTTAGGCAACAGAAACATTTAAACAAAACCCTAAGTGTACATGCACCCTAGATTTAGGTTTTACTATTATGACAACGTACTTTCAAGACTAGCAATATAAACTAAAGAAAGGGATCTGTTTACTAACCTTTTGACAAAATCAAATTTGTCACTTGACCTCTTGAAGATTTCGAACTCCTTTAGTTGCTCTTGGAAAGTCTAGCACCCAAAGTAGAATGCCTGTAACGAATCACACTCAAAAGACTAAAACCCTAGAACTTTAAGAGAGAGAGAGAGAGAGAGAGAGAGAGAGAGAGAGAGAGAGAGAGAGAAATCCAAAAATTCAAACCTTATGGAGAGTATGATCGATTTTTCTACGACCTAAAAGGGTCAGTGGTATTTAACAGATAAACCTGATTTGAATCAATGAAAGAATCAAATTTAATCATGATTCAAATCTTTATCCTTATCAGATATCATTACTATTAAGCTTTTAAAAAAATAACCATCTTTTTTCAGTTTTTGAAAAATAATCACTTTATCCGAAATGCCTTTATTCCGGAGTACTGTTCATCTTTTTATTATTATTATTATTATTATTATTATTATTATTATTATAGATTTTTCTAGTGTTTTTTTCAAAGAAATCAGGGACGTAGTTACCATATGGTAAGGTAGATCCTAGGACCTACCTTTTTTTTTAATAGAACAAGAATATATAGAAAAAAATAGGAACTACCTAATTTTTATAAAAAGACCTACCTAATTATTTTTGGTAAAAAAAAAGTTATCATCAGCCCATATATTTTATATTTAACAGCCCAACATCTTACCCCACTTTCACTAATCAATAGCCCAATCCAATTATTAAAAAAAAACAAAAGGAAAATAGAAACGGAACGTCGCCCATACCCCTCGCTGCTGTGTTGAACTGCTGCACTGTTTCCTGATCAAAAATCGACGCCGCTTTTTACCTTCTCCGTTCGCCGACTGCCGTCCGGCCAAGTCGCCGGCTGTCTGCCACCGCCGACCACCGTCTCCCTCCAGCCGTCAATGAGCCCAACGACAGCAGCCAAGTGATCATCTACAACAGGTTTGTAATTTGTAAATTGTAACTTTATAGGAATTTTGATTGATTCATTATCATTGATTACATTTATTTGATTTGTATAATTGTATAATTCTTCATCACAAGTTGTGGTCCTTAGCAACAGAATTTGAATTTAATTTGATTAGGTAATTAATTGACCCACTTAATGACTTAAAACCACACAGTTATGGATGTTGATACAAAATGCAAGTCGTAATTTCCAGTGAGACTAATATTTGAATTTAATTTAACTTAAAAGTGTAATTAATCTGAATTCTTGTCTTGATTAGTTGATTAACATTCTTGACATTTGATTAATATTCATTCAATTTATTTAGACTTGAAATTTGAGAACATTGTCAAGTTTTTATTGTCTTGATTTTATTATTTGTTGATTTGATAACAAAATATTGATAATGGTTATTAGTTTGATACTCTTGTAAGTTGTAACATTCAATTTCATAATTCTATTTCAGAATCAAGAATCAAAATGTTTAGTGTCGTATATTGAAAAAAATGTTTTAAAAGGTATCGGTAATGACGCAATTGTGAATATGTTTCAAGATATAAGACATCGTAGGGTTCAATTGTAAGAACTTTATTATATCTATTGAACGAATGTTTAAATATTTTATTCATACAACCCGACCCGCCATCACTAATATTTTTACACTTTCATATTTTTTTTAGTTTTATTTACATAAGGAACCACATGGTTTTTGGTTCTAGATTCGCCACTGAAAGAAATTATTTTGTTTTTTTTTGGATTCCGAATGCTACATTTCGTAATGTTTAATGTCATTGTTTTTTCAATAAAATGTTTAATTTTATACACTAATATTGTATATAATTCATATTACTATGTTTGTTTAATTTTTATTAAATTAAGAAAAAATGATTTTTTTTTCATGAAATTTCGGAATTGTTCTTGAAATTCCGGTGTTTTTTTTTTCTAAAATTCAAAATTTTAGTCCGGATGTTGGTCCGAAATCCGGAATTAGTCAAAAAAATGTTTTTTCTTGGTCCAGAATGCCTCATTCCGGACAAAGTAGTTATTTTTATAAAAAAAGTTTAGGTTATTTTATTTTAAATACATATTAAAAAATAGTTAGATTACTTAATTTCTCTTAAATTAAATCTAAATCTATTCTAATTAATTTATTAATCTGTAATAAATTCTATTTATCTTAATTTCTAATTACTAGTTATTTTAGTTTTTAAAGGAAACCAAAAGCACTTCATTATCCCCACCACTACCAATTTTAGATTTTAAAGAAAACCACAACACTTTATTATCATTCCCACCACCGCCGATTAATTATAAGATTAAACACCTATTTACAAAGTGATGTTGAAACGCACTAAGTGGCGTAATGAAGAAGTATTACCACAAATACCGTTTCTTTCTTCTTCCGCACTTTTCAGTGAAGACCACTGAT